CCTCACCATTTTTTAATTGAAAGGCTGACCTGACAATACTTATAACTGACTGTAATAACCTGCAATATATCACATGTGACACTTATTGCGCGACATTGACGCCCGCGTTACAACAGACTGAACATGATAAGGACAGAATTAGCATTGGCGGCACCGTAATGTTTCGACCGCAAACCACGCCCCATTAGCCATATAGTAGTATTACATATATGGTTTTTACACATTCGTACATTACACAAATGTGTAAAACGTGATGCTGCGCATGCGCATTGGGAACATTTATCCCTTACTACCTTTCTCTCTCGCACAGACGTTTGCATCAGCGCAAGCCATGGGAAGTATAGGCAATGCCCGTTCCATTTATATGCCTAAAGGTGCGATTTCACGCTGACGCTAGACGCTCATTTTCAGCGTCAAAACAGGTCACATGATCAAAATTGACGAATACCAAGCGTCAATTTTGATCACGTGACCTGTTTTGACGCTGAAAATGAGCGTCTAGCGTCAGCGTGAAATCGCACCTTAAAGCCTTGTGTCCACGATGCTAGAAATCGGTCCGAGATCTCAGACAGAGAAAAAATTAACAAATCACATTTGAACAATTTGATCACATGACCATTGCGATTGGTCAATTCTTTCTTCATCCGAGGTCTCGGACGGATTTCTAGCATCGTGGACACAAAAGGGCGTACCGTTCGAGTTGTTTGAAGACGTTTAGGCTGGAGTCCCATGAGGTGTACCGCGTATCGCGTAACCGCGTAACCAATCAGAAGCGATCCGCTGTTGTGATTTCGTGTTTTACTGATTATTGATTGGTTACGCGGTTACGCAATACGCGGCAAATACGCTCCATGGGACTCCACCCTTAGTGGCAGTTCCCAGCGGCTCGCGCGCCGTACGATCGGTGGGGACGGTAGGCGGTAGGTTGTATATTTGGCAGTGTTTGGCAGCAGTAGGCCGGCCGGACGCGCTTATTCGGCTATCTTTAAACGTTAATATCTCGTT